ACATAATTCCAGTAGAATGTAGGATAAAAGAATTAATAATTAGAGCAATACAATAAATGCACATGGGGATTTGGGTGCTGCTGCAGGCTCTGTCAGCTTTAAAACTTCTCTTAATAGACATAGTTTGTGATATATGGGGTTTACAGTTGGATTATAGTATAACATTAATTCCACAAATTTCACTTGAATACTGACTTTGTATAAAGCCCTAGAAGGGAGGGGCAGGGCACAAGATGCTTTAATGAACAAAACAGGCTCTCTGCCCCTAAGGAGTTCCCAATTTGTAAAATATGCCACTATTTATGCCTAGTGGGTGACATGTATAATTACAAACAACAATTATTTTTCAGTAATTTTTGAACACTGAAGTGCTAGCAAGTGCATAGCTAACTGCTTGAAAAAATATGCTCCTATTAGACTTTTAGGGGTTAATCTTCAAATTGAGTCTTCCTTTGATCTCTCTTGGTGGTACAAGGGAAGAGAGTACAAAACCTGGTGTCTGAGTTCAAATTTGGCCTCAGACACTTAACTAGCTTTGTGACCCTGAGCAAATCACTTAATCTGTGTCTGGGAATAATAATAGCATCTATCTCCCTAAACTGTGGTGAGGATTAAATAAGATAATATTTGTATAGTACTTAGCTTGGTGCCTGGAAAGTGGTAGGTGCTATATAACTGAATTTATTTCCCCTCCCTTCCTCTGGAGCAGAGGTTCCCAAAGTTATTTAGCCTATTGCCCCCTTTTCAAAAAAAAATTACTTTACTTTCTTTAACCCTTTAACAGTTTTTTGAAATTTGTGTCATTTAAAAAATATTTTTTGAATGACGCATCTTAAATTTAATAATTTCTTATGAATTTGTGGGGGTTTTCCTGCATTAAAATTTTGAGTATGGAATATTTTTGTCATGTAACCCTATAGTATTATATTTTAAACAAGTCATTACATACACATATTCCTGCTGAGGCATGCTGGACTTCCCAACAATGCATGACAGGCTTGCCTGCCAACACTTGTTTATTAAGACCTATCAGTGGACTTGACTACTGATAGGTTGTAACTTGCATTTTGTGTGTTTATTTGGAAAATAATGCAATCACTATGACTTTGACTCTGTTACACCACAGATGAAACATGTATGAACAGTTTTGCAAAATTTTCTTCTCTTCTTTCCTTTTGCTTCCACTGTCCCCTTATTTTTATTCAACATTTCCCCCTCCCCCAATTGCACCCAAGGCTACTACCACCCCCTACATTGTTCCAGTACCCCTCCGAGGGCAGTATCACCCACTTTGGGAATTGTACATAGATAAGAAAATGCAAATACATACAAAATAAAGTGCAACTAGGGTCTAAGAGTTTCTGGACCTTAGTTTCTCCTCATTTATAAAATGAACAGATAACCTCTAAAGTACCTATCAACAATAATGCCTATCTAACCTTTTTGGTGACACCATGGAAAGAGTACCGGCTCTAGAATCAAGAAGACTCATCTTCTGGAGTTCAAATCCAGCCTCAGACACTTACTAGCTATGTGACCCTAGGCAAGTCTCTTAACTCTGTTTGCCTCAATTTCCTCATCTGTAAAATCAGCTGGAGAAGGAAATGGCAAACCACTCCAGCATCTCTGCCAAGAAAACCCCAAATGGGGTCACAAAGAGTCAGACACGACTGAACAACAACCCTTTTTAGAGCACTTGGAGGATTTTCAAAGCCCATTCCTTATACACTTCATTTTATTTAAGTCCTCTAAAACTACAGTCTGTGAATACAGAGTAATTTGGCAGGGTGGAGAAAAAGAGCAAGCTCTAATAATGGGGGAATCAGACCTTTACATCTAAGAGATTTAGTTCCCCTTATTTGTATTTGCTTATTCAAGAAGAAAAAACAATTGATTTTATAGTTAAACCACCTACTTTAGTAGTAACAAATAGTTTCTATCTATTTACTACTCTTGTCTCCTGGTGAGAGCCTCTACTTTTGTGAATGAACTCAGTGCTTTTTATTGCCTGTTTTACAAAACAACATGGGATGGGAATGGAAGAGATTTTTTTGTATTTGGGAATTCATAGAACAGCTATAACATTTTTTTCTGTCTGAAAAAACCAAGGTAGAAGAAAGGATTCAAGAAATTTTAAATGATTGTAAAGAAAGTTTCCTTCACAAGTTTAGTTTTTGCTCAGCCATAGTTGTATAAAGCTTCTTCAGTATGGTTCAGAAATTGTTATTAGGCAAATGTAGGTAGTTCACACTTCAACTTTTTTTTATTTTAAATGGCTGCAGAGATTTAAAGTTTTAAAGTGTTTATTTCAAGAAACTTTGCGGCTGCTTCTAATCTCACGATCATTTTAGCCCATTTAAGTTGAACAAAATATATTAAACTATGCATGAACTTCTTCGCATGGGAAGAATTTCCCGAAAGATTCCTTTCTAGTTAGTAAAGTAAAAACTATGCTACTCATTACATAATCCAAAGGTTGGGGGGAGAGGGGGAGATGGAAAGAACATGAAAAAATGACCAGGCCCGGGGCATCCTGATAAAAACAGAGAAATGCTTGTTACTATTTCCCCCTTCTTGGTTCTCCCTCACCCCTATCCCTCCTTCTGTTTCTCCATATTTCTACTCCAAACTATGTGTGTGAGAATGTGGGTATGGATATGGGGGTATGTGTATGTGTGTGTTAACCCTCCTTTGTATGATTCTTGTCGTCCCTACTTATCCCATTCCTTCCTCCATGTTTGTTTGCTGTTAATCTTTCTTTATCATTGCTGGAATAAAAATGAGAGAGTTAGGATTCCATTTGACCTACCATGTTGGCATCTTAGCTAAAAAACAGAGAAATGAAAGGGACATTCAGTGATGAGCCCCTCACCAGGCTACAAAAGTTCCAAAAGGCTATGACTGCTGCCAAAGTAGGCCTTGAATTTGGGAATCTCTGTATAATTCAAATGGAAAGAGGTATTTGATGTGTCCCAAAAGTCTTAGTGCAGTTTTAAGTTTTAATTACTTCAGAAGTATAAATGCTGCAAATTTATTAAGACTATCATTTCATCATTTCAAAGTTTAATTATTTTAATTTATTTAAACTCATTTAGTTTTGTGAATTTTGAATTTAAAAACTGTGTATGCTTCAAAACTTCGTCCTTTGGATAGTCTTAAGGCTAGGATTACAAATTCTGTCTAGTCAGTTAGCAGCAGATGAAAGGTTTTTGTTGTTGTTCAGTCATTTCAGTCATGTCGAACTCTTTGTGAGCCCATTTAGCATTTTCTTGGTAAAGACACTGGCGTGGTTTGCCATTTCCTTCTCCAGCTCATTTTACAGATGAGGAACTGAGGCAAACAGGGTTAAATGACTTGCCCAAGGTCATACAACTAGTACATGTCTGATACCAGATTCGAACTCAGGAAGTGTAGTGTTCTTGACTTCAGGCCCAGTACTCAATCTACTGTACCACCTAGCTGTTCCTTGAAAGGTTTTACCAAGTTTGAAAATCTATTGGAGCAAAATATAGCATAAGACTGTGATTGTATTGCATTTTAATAAGAAACATGTCAGCATTTTAAATATTTAAATAATTAACCTTTCAATTTTTTTAAAAGTGTGTAGCATTAAGACATCGCCAAAGGCCTCATGATGGAAAATGCTATCCACATCCAGAAAAAGAATTATGGAATTTGAATGCAGAGAGAAGCTTATTATTTGCTATTTTTTTTTCTTCTGTTGTGTTTTGTTTCCTCTCTCTGATGGTTCCTCCTATTGGTTCTAATTCTTCCTTACAACATGACTAATGTGAAAATACGTTTAATAGGAATGTATATGTATAGACTATATCAGATTGTGTTCCATCTTGGGGAGGGAGGTAGGGAAAAAAATCTAAAACTGAAAAACTTATGGAAGTGATTGTTGATAAAATAAATAATAAAGTTTTAAAAAGTGTGTAATCCTGAAGTCATTAAGTCCTAAAACTGAATTAAGATACCCTGTATTGGAGACTCCATTTACCTATTTCCTTTTTTACCTGTACTAATGGCTTGTGCTTCCCTCTATCCACTTAGTTGTTACTATCTTTTGTTTCCTTAGATTTCCTTGTATTTACTTATTTGTGTACGGTATTTATTCCTGCCATCCCTATTTCAGCAGAATATAAGATTCCGAGGCAGATAGGTGTTGCAGTAGATTATACACAAAGTGTGGAGTCAGGAAGACCTGAATTCAAGGTCTCAGACACTTGCTAGCTGTGTGACCTTGGGCAAGTCACTTAACTTTTCTCTGTCTCAGTTTCCTCAATTATATCTACCTTTCAGGGTTGTTGCAAGGATTAAATGGGATAATATTTGTGAAGTGCTTAGCACAGTGCCTGGTACATAGTAGAGACAATACTTATTTCCTTCTTTCCTTCCTTCATTTCTTCTCCTTCCTTCCTTTCTTCCTTTCTTTGTATCAGTGCTTGTTGACTGACTGACTATGCCAATATATTATTAGTGTGCAAAAGTTCACCTTTTTTTTTCAGCTGGACAACTTATAAAAAATAAATTTCAATTCTTTGATATGTAGTCTAGCCCTAGTCTACTTCATATCCTACTCTTTACTCTTCTATATAAAACAAACTAGTGTACACTGTCCCTCTAATATGTAGTGTAACTCTTCCTTTGCTCTTCCTACTCTTCCTGCTTAGACTGCCCTTCACATCTTTCCACTTCTTCAAGATCCAGTTTCAGTCCCACCTTCTCCATGAGGTCTTTCTTTTCTGTCCCAGGCTTCAGTGATTGCTTCCTTCTCTGAACTCTTTTCTGTCTGTATCACTCATGCAAAATAAGCTATCTTTTATTATATGTTATCTTAAGACATACACTCCAAATCTCCCCAACTAGATCATAAAGGCCCTTGAGAATAGGGACCAAGTCACAAGCCTTGTTGTGTCCTCATTATCTGGTACCTCTTATAGGCACTTGATAAATGTTGGTTGATGATGATAGCTCAGACTCCACTTCTCTTCTAGGAAGCTGTGCAAGTATTAATTAAGCACTCAGCTGATGTCAATGCTCGGGACAAGAACTGGCAGACTCCTCTCCATGTAGCTGCTGCAAATAAGGCTGTTAAGTGTGCAGAAGTCATCATCCCACTGCTAAGCAGCGTCAACGTCTCTGACAGAGGAGGGCGGACAGCCTTACACCATGCGGCTCTGAATGGCCATGTGGAGGTGGGTGGGCAGCAAGTCACAAGGAATGCAAATATTCACCCCTTACCCTCTCTTTGCCCATTGTGGAGATACGTATCATGTTTGAGAATGATATAACAGTATAATTTTTAGAGAAAGAAATGTCCTAGGTTACCATTTTTTATTTTTACATTTAGATAATGGTGAATTGAAATAGTGTGATCTCACAATACTTTCTCTCGAAATGAGAGAAAGTAGGCTGGCAGTGTATGTGGCCAGGCTCTTTTCATTGCCTACCAGATTCTTAATGTGCATTCCAGGACCCTTGGCCATATAATCTTTCTACCTTCTTTGGATCAAAGACCCTTATATCCATTTGGATGTTGATACTACAGGTCCTCTATAGCAGAAATTCTTATTTTTTGTGTGTGTTGTGAATCCCTTTAGTAGTCTGATAAGCCCTACGGACCTCTTCTCAGAATAATATTTGTAAACGAATAAAATAAATTGCATGAGATTACAAAGGAAATTAATTCCATTGAAATACAGTTACCAAAAATATTTTTAAAACTAGGTTCATGGACCCCAGGCTAAGGAGCCCTGCACAATGGGAAGACAGTCTGTCACAGAGTACATGTTTTATTTTATTCTTGCTTGGCTTTTTCAGATGGTCAATTTGCTTTTGGCTAAAGGAGCAAACATCAATGCATTTGACAAGAAGGACAGGAGAGCTCTTCACTGGGCAGCATATATGGGTAAGGACTGTTAGGATAAAAGGGAAGTGCTCATCTAATTAAACTGGATATATTCACCTGTGGGGAAGCTTTTTCAGACCCTCCCCAAGTATTTACCTATTCTAGCTCTGGTTTCCAGGCCAGTCCAGCTTCTGTCCAAAGATCCAAGACTACTATGAATGCTACATTTTGGGCGTGTGCAGTGGCACTCTGGTGATTGGCTTCCCCTAAAGAGAAAGGATGAGTCTAAGGAAAATGGTATTTCAAAATTGCATGGCCTAGTTGGAAGTTTGCATAAAATGTATGTGCTATACCAGGAAATAGAAGTGACATGAGTATTTAAAAAAAGAAAGAAAGGAAAGAAGGATGAAAGAAAGTAGGGAAGAAGGAAGGAAGAAAAGAAAGAAAGAAAGAACGAAAGAAAGAATGAAAGAGAGAGAGAGACACGTTGACTGGCCTGCAAAAGTAAGGGCTCAAACTCTAGTTAGACAATATTTTGACTACTCTTACTTATTGTGGCTTTTTACTTGAGAGGCAATCTATTGTAATAGAAAGATCCCAGGATTTAAAGTTAGGTGAGACTTGGTCTGACATTGAGACTACTGAGACTCAATTCCCTGAGCTATAAAATGGAAAATAAATAACTATCACAGCTTTATTCTAAGGACAGCACGTTCTAAACCTTAAAGTGCTTTTAAAATATGAACTAGCGTTATGTGTTTTTGACTACATAGGTTAAAGAACTTATTTGAATTGAGTGACCATATAACTAAGAAGAGTTGTATTATCATATCCTCTATTCAAGGTGCAATTATTGTACCCAGTTCCTAATTCTGTCTGCTCAGAGGAAGAAATCCCACTCCTTGGTATTGAGGGGAAGGGATGGTTCCCCCCCCCTTTTTAACCGTTTGTGTCATTGGTAAAAATGACTAGATGGGAAATTTCTTCAGTGCAAACCTGAAGGAGATAAGAGGTAGACTTCTATACAAATCTATTTCACAAGTTAGTCAATACATCACCCTTGTGCTGTCATTGGTTCTCTTCGCGAATGAAGGATGAACAACAACAAACAGCATTAGATTTGGTGTCTGGGTTTGACCAAGTCCCTCCAGTTAAAATTTTAGAATGAATCGTCTTTGCAATCACGATTGCTAGTCATTTATTTTCACTCTCAAAGCAGCAGTATTTCTTTCCACTAGTAACAAGACTTCTAGTATTTACCAAGGTGATATCCATGCCTGTCTGGCACTTAGAAAACAGAAAGAAAGATGAATAATTTTCAAGAGCATTTAGTCAGATCAAAATGAGACTTACCTAGAGATCTGGCTTTACTTAATCCAATTTGGTTGCTGGATAAGTAATGTGGGAATAATAACTTTAAAGCACAGCATCACTATTCTTGAACTTGAAAAATTCCTTAAATTTACCTTTGGAAATCCTAAGGAGAAATAAAGATGTCTTAAGGCAAAATTTCAGGTAATTAGACTTCTTTTTTTTTGGTATTCTATTATTAGCAGAAACAGACAAATTATAAGAAAATAAATCAAAAATCAGAGTTAATTTTAAATAACTATCATTTTAAGCCAATGTCTAGATTGTATCCTGGCATCAGCTTTTGCTCAGCCTAATTTCCCAAGTCATCTATATCTACTTGATAAGGAATGATATTAAAGTTATACAAAAAGGGTGTGTGATTTTGTGAGTAGGGAACTCCTGGTGTGACAAGACAGGTCCCATTGCCAGATTGTAATCCATCTGTGATATAGCGGGTAAATCCTAGAAAACTGACTGAGGCACCTAGAGGTTAAGTGACTTGTCATTCTTAGGCTACATGGCCAATAAGTGTCAGAGGCTGCATATAAATCCAGTTCTTTCTTCTTGATTCCAAACTTAGAACCCTATTCACAAGACCACCTCTATTTTTATACTTAAGGTATTGTATAACAATCATTGATGCTCAGTATGACGATCTTGAGGCACTGAAAGATCTTTGGCCATCAAAGAAATGCATTTAACACAGTACACATAGTAGGAGCTTAAGAAATGTTTATTGATTGAGTGATTGATTGAAAATTAAATTCACTTTACTGCCCATTAAGGCATGAGAATAGACACATTTAGTATTTAAATTTTTAGTATTAGTATTTTTAAAATTAGTATTTAGTATTTAAAATTAGTATTTAATTAGCATTTTAAAAAACTTCTGTTCCTGCACAGCATATAGGGATAAGTTTAGGGACTAGATCTGTGATTTCATTGCTGTAGAGAACTTCATTTACCTATTCATGTCAGGACTTTCTTTACAACTCATAGAATTGCAGTGAGCACTGAGATGGTAAGTGACTTTCTTCTATGAAACAGAAAGAAGTTCAAAAGGAAACAGAGAAGCAGGACAACTTTGAAAGTAATACGTTGTATTTTTTTAATATACTTTAAAAAAACCTCAAGCTGTTGTTCATAAAGATTTGCATTTTCATATAATCCTTTTTTCCTGTTCTATTTTGTACATGGAGTTGTTTGGGGTTTGGTTTTGGTGTTTGTAATATGCAAGATTCCAAATTCAGAAAACTAAATAATCATAATCATAATGCTTTCTGCTGCTTTATCTTTTTAAAGGCCACCTGGAAGTGGTGGCCCTGCTTATTAACCATGGTGCCGAAGTCACATGCAAGGACAAGAAAGGTTACACCCCACTGCATGCTGCAGCCTCCAATGGACAAGTAAATGTGGTTAAACACCTGCTCAATCTAGGGGTGGAGGTAAGCACTGGGCCATCTCCAGATGACTCATAGATGGATGACTGTGTTCATGTTTCATTGTTATTGTTGTTGTTATAGCAAGTACACAGCATATTTGCATTTTAATTCAGAGATCAACATCTCAGAGTCTTGTTTTCGTTCTCCTTCAATTCAGTAGAAGGGCAAAAGATGACCCTGCCAAGTAGTGAAAAATCAAAAAGATGCTGACCTTTGCTAGCCTGGGAGACACAGAGATGTTGAAACAGAAATCACATGTCAGGATGAAAGGATTTAGCCTTAGAGTTCTAGCACTAGAGATCTTCCAATCCAATTCCTTCATGTGAGGAGGAAGAGGAGGGGGGAAAAGTAAAGTGACTTGTCCCAGGTCACATAAGGAAGTGAGGGGTAGAACTGAGATTTGAACTTAGATCTTCTGAATGCAAGTCCAACCCTCATTAGTAATGGGTATAAAACTACAGGAATAGCATGCACTTGTGGACCTTGGAAATATGGTCCTATATTTAGGAGTTATATTTATAATTTGGCTTGCAGTGATTGCTTGTCATTCTACATTGACTAGGGTACCAGGGAAGAGTACTCATTTAATTAATAATCTTCTTGATTATCACTCTTCCCTATGAATTGAGCACAGTTTAAATAAAATTACTGGGCCCCTTCTCTTCTGGCCTTTTAAATCTTGCTTTCTAAGCATGGGAGAACACTAGAGGTTTTGGGATCAGAGGATTTAGAGCTGAAAGGTACTTGAGAAATTATTTAATCCAACCCCCTCATTATATAGATAAGGAAATTGAGGCACAGAGATTAAGTGACAGGTAGTATGGAGCAAGACTGGGATTTTAATCCAGAGCTGCTGCTTTCAAATCCAGTGCCCTTTCCCACTATACCACGGTCTCTTTTGCTGAGATGAGAGAATGTTGAGACCAGAGCCAGTCAGAGCACTTCTGTCTACATTGTCTCCCACCCCTATGCTTCCTTAGCTCAAGAGAATAAACAGGAGACCAGCATTATGAAAGCAGCAGGGAAGGTCTCTTAACTTCCCTATTTCAGGCAGGGTTGTGGTCTACGTCTCTGCCCTCTGCTCCTAGATGATGCCTTGGTGTGAAATGATTCAGGGTAACAGCTGAAAGTTGCTCTTGGACACCACTTCCTCTTTGAAGCCTTAGCTACCTTCCTATTGTCTTCCTCCTGTTCACTAAACACATTTCTTTATGCTCATTTCAACTCCACCCTTATTTTTACTGTCACCTTTCTCTAGATTTTTCTTCTAGTATATTACCACCCACTCTTTTTAATATGTAACTTTGACTTTAAACCTTCATTGCCATGCAAGTTTTTAAAAATCCCCTCAAATAGAGGGCATGGTAAAAAGTATTCCAGACTTGGAGTTCAGATTCCATCTCTGTTACTTATGGACCTGTCTGACTTTGGTCAAGTCATTTAACATCTTTGGATCTCAGTTGCTTGATCTGTAAAATAAAAAGGGTTAGATTAGATAATCTTCTAGCTCTCAATCTTGTAATCCTTGAATTCTTGAAATAATAACTCACACCTTTATAATAAGGACACATTTATATAGTGCCTTAAGCTTTATAAAGTTCTTTATTGTAAATAACTCTGTGGGGTAGATACCATTTATACTATCCCCATTTCCAGATGAGGAAATAGGTTCAGAGAGGTCAAGGGACTTAGCCATGGTCATCAGAGCTGCTAAGTGTGAAAGCCAGTCTGGAAGTGTCTTGATGTCAAGTGTCTTCCACACTATCTCCTGTTCCTGAAAAATGTCCACTTCATATTGCAAAAACTGTTAGTGCCACATATTCATACATAGTAATGAGGTAATATAGTAAATAATGTCTATGAAAAATGACCTCTTCCTATATGTTGGCAAGCTCCTTTTTTATCTCATTTACTTTATTTTGATCTTTAATTTTATATTGTAAGCATTTCCAGGGTAGGGGCCATATCTTTTCATCATAAATTTTGTACCACCCCCAGTATGGTGTCAAGTGCCGAGTAGGTACTGAATAATATACACTGATTAATTGGAGTCACCTTCCTGTTGCTACAGATATCCCGTTATTCATTATGAAACGGAGTAAATTGGCCTCAGTAATTGTAATTGCCTCCTGTTGGTCTCATTTGCAGATTGATGAAATCAATGTCTATGGAAATACGGCACTTCACATAGCCTGTTATAATGGACAAGATGCTGTAGTCAATGAGCTGATTGATTATGGTGCCAATGTGAACCAGCCTAATACCAGTGGATTCACCCCTCTGCACTTTGCTGCTGCCTCTACCCATGGTGCTCTCTGTCTTGAACTGTTAGTGAACAATGGGGCAGATGTGAATGTCCAGGTGAGGTTCATCTCCCAGGAGAGTATGTGGTGATTGGTAATTACTGGTTTTTAGATTTTCTAGATGCTGCCCATCTATTCTGTGAGCCATCTTTAAATGCAAAATTGATTACTCTAAATACCTTATTACTTAGATTGGGATGTTTTGTGTTGATTTAAATAGTAACTCTGAACCTTAAAGTTTAAAGTGTGACATTGCCTGGCACTGTCATGCTGAAGGTAAACTGATCTTGGTCAGGGGAAAGGGGTCCATCTGTCGTTTTGTTGTTCTTGTTCATCCTTCTTCTTGAGGGTGATATCTTGACTCCCATGTGATTTGGATTTAAGTGAGACAGACCTTCCACCTTCACTCTCTCCTCCAGAATCATCAAAGTCCTATGGTAAGACAAAAGTCAAAGCTACTGGGTTATTGCCCCAGGATGCCTTTTTAAATTAAGGTCCTTCCCAGATCTCAGCTTGTTTGTGGCCATGCCCATTCAGTGACTATGGGCTAGGTAAAAATTGAGACAAAAGATGGACCAATTTACCATCACAAAAATATCAGTCTGGGAGGGGAAGACCCTCATTCTAAGCCATCATAACCTAAACAATGTGCCACTTCAGGCTGTGCTTCATTTCTGCCCAGTGACTATTCTCAATGTACCCTGAGTTTCTGGAATGTTGACTCAACCTAGAGTATTTCATTAAATTGAATACTGAGCTAACATGACAGATTAGAGAATTAGAGAAATGAATTGGACTGCTGTTGCTCTTCCAAGGGTCTCTGGACTAGACTGAGGCTGAATGCTCTCAAACACTTCAGGGGCCTGTCCCCCTCACTGGAGCTAATTCCACATTGGGTTTCAAAACCATAGCATCAGCCCACAGTGCCATCAAGTAGTATTGGCATTGAGTTTTTGCCTTGCCCCCACAATGCTTAGGGGTGTGTGTGTGTGTGCACGCGTGTGTGCCAGATTGTGATAGCATTCATTTCTTTATAATGTGGTGGTCTAGGGGTGCTGGGAACCCCAAAATACAAGGGTCTGCCTTGAAAGAATTAGACAGCTCAAGCCTTCCAGTCCAAGTAGAGAGTTTATTTGTGACACCAGTACAAATGGGCCAGACTCTTAGTGGGTCTGTACATTTGATAGGGACACTACTGATATTTTTATAGGATAAAAGATTGTAGAAAGATTTGGCTGGGATTAAGGAGTGGCAAATAGCCTAGGGTGGTCTGGAGGTAACTGAGAAAGAAAGGTTGGGCTGGGTTAGATGTAACAGAGAATGGAGGGTTGGGCTGGGTGAGGGAGGACACAATGAAAGAACAATTGAAAGGATTATACTAATACATCAGGTGAATGCCAGGGATCTGGGTTCAGGGGCTGGGTTTCTGAAATTTGTGGGAAAGCTTGAAGGGGAGTAGGGGGAGTCCCAGATCCCATGCCCCAATCATTACCATTTATTTGTGAATTCTAAATTGTGGTGAAGATGCTGCATCTAAAATTCATTCTTGTGCTGGTTTAGACTGTTTCCTTTACCACTCCATTAAGTATTCCTGAAAGAGTGCTTATTTAATTTAGTTTAGTTTAATAATCCTCTTGATTTCCATTTTCTCTCATGAACTAATCATGATTTTAAATATAAGAGTTATCTAAAGTGGTGCTTGGATTTGTCTTTATATGACATCATCATCGTTATTATTATCTTTGAGAGCAGGGATTTTTTTTTATTCTTTGTACTCCCCAGTACCTGGCATATAGGGGTTTGTTGATTAATTATTTTATTTTACCAGACTTCTGATTTCACTATTATGGGAAGCTACTGAGGAATATGCTCAACCAATGGAAATTATAGCCTTTTCTAAAACTTAGAACCCTATGAAGTCGCTGGAGGCAATAAGATATTAAATGCTTTGCTCAGGGTCTCACAGTCAGTATGTATCAGAGAGGAGAACTGAACCCAGGCCTTCCTGATTCTGAGGCCAATCTCTCTATATATTCCATTTTGCATCATGTATTATTTCAAGCAAACTTGTTTTTGAGGCAGTTTGGCCATTTTTCATTAGTGTCATTCCATGTCTGTGTTCCCTATCAACAGCTCAGACACTCAGGCCTCCTATCCCTATGCTATTTTAACTTTCAGGCACTCATTTTAGCTCTTCTCTGTTGAAATATAGCCCAAAGAGTTCATATAGTCTTCCAAAAGATTAGCATGTGCTATCAAGCTGCCAAATCCTGCTGGAATTTCCCAGGTTTATGGATGGGAGAATCCTGGGAAGTGTAGTTCATCTTTATGCATACTTTTGAGGTACACTGGAAAGCATTTAGCATTGGTGCAAGATGGAGCCAAAAGACTGATGAAAATTGGATGTAGGAGTTGAATATGAAACTGGGTCCAGTACCAGGTATTTTTTTCTGTACTATTTTTTTCAGAGTCATTGATCTTGAGTCATTAGTGGATTGTTGTTTTGCCCAAAGCAAGGTGTCTGTATTGAAAGTTATGTTGACTCAGTTATGCATTGTTCCAACCCTGCTTATCAAAGATTGTTGGTGGGGGGGGGTCTCTGGTGGAGAAGGAAAGTCTGAAGTTTTTGTATTATCTGCTCCTTTTCCCCTACCCTTACCTGCAAATTGTCCTGTTCTTGCTACCTTGGGGAGGAACTGACATTCAAGGGCCCAACCTCTTCTGCTGAAGTGGACCTATTTGGATTGTCTTAAAATTACCTATAAAAGCTGTCCCCACCTTGAAGCCCTTGCTGGTCTTCAGTGATCAGCCCATCAGTGTGTTGCTACCTTGACATAATTGTAATAAAACCCTTTTGATTCTCTTTGTCTTGAGTTTTGCTCTGTTAATCAGGGTGAAAGCCCAAATGAAAAACTTTCCTTTCAACATCTGGTTGCAGTTTTTACACTTACACTATAGTTATTCCTCCTTCTCCTTCCCTGTTGGGACACAGTCTGTCAGGTGACTGAACTCTTATCCATATATTACCTGTTAGCAATGAAAGTTAGAAATGATCAGTTGAATGATTCACAGCAGTTCAATGATGGATGAGAAAAGGTAAGGATTGCTGTGTTGGTCTTGTATCTTACAGTTCTCTTTGTCACCCATGTGGTATGGAATCTTCTCTCCTGAATCACTAACATTTGATCATATTATGTTAGAAGAAGTGACTAGTTTCAAGTAACCCAATGTATGGTCTGATATAATTTACAAATAGAAGAAGCATTATAAATTATAAAGTGGTTTTATTTCAATATCTTTCCTTTGACAATTCTGTAAAGAGTAAACCTCTCAGCCTAATATTTAAGGTCCTCCACAACATGGCTCTATCTTATCTTTCCAAGATTGCAACCCATCTACCTTCTCTCTTGCTCTCTTTGTTGGCCATGCCCTTCCATAAATGCTCCACAAGATGCAAGGTAGCCATCAGAAAACAGCTGTCCCTCCTGTTACCCCAACTAATGTTTTCTTTGAGCATATCCTGAGGGCCACCTGCTTGGGCTCAATGGTGTATAACACAAAGAGAAGACTAAAGTGATGGATGTGAAATAAGCATGGCATTGAATATTGATATACCATACCATCCCTATGACAGCAGTAATTTGTCCTAGCCACATGTGCCTCATCTTTTCTTCTTTTCCCTGCCTTTCATTCTGTCAGTGTTCATTAGTACCTTCACCAAAATCCAAACACTACAAGGCAAAAGAAGCAATGATAAAGGAGAGGAGATATTTACTGTCATTGAAATAGGGCAGAATTTGTAAGCTATACGTCTTAGAGCTCTGTTACTTTCTAGCACTATGACTGCAATTTATATAAATGCTGCTCAGTAAACAGTGGTGCCTTGGCTTATGGGATATCAGCCACATTAGGCACTTCTTCTAGAGATGAGGTTTAAAATACATTCATACCATTTGAATATTCCTTTTGCATAAAAACAAACTCTTTATGCTATATTTTAAATTTAAAAGAAAATACCATTTAGAGCAAAATTTAGAAAAATAATGATGCCTAGGCATAGATTTGTGTCTTTGATCCTTATTGTTACCAATATTTCCTCAGAGGAAGCATGATTTAGTGAAAAAATCTCTGAGCTTAGAGTCACAAGAGACCTGGATTCAAATCCTACCACTGACTCTTACTACCTTGTGACCTTCAGCACTTATGTGGTCATAAGAGAATAGATATAAAGCTAGAAGGGACCTTAGAGATAATAAAATCCAGCCTCATTTTATAGAAGACCAAACCACAGCCCAGAAATATTAAAGGATTTGTTCATGGTCACATAGATAGAAAATATTGAAGCAAGGATTAGAATTCAGATTCTATTGCCTCCAATCCCATGCTTCCCATCATACCACACTGCTATGTGAACTTATACATTCTGGGAATTTTTTTCAGAAAACTATCCTTTTTGAGGATTTCCAAGATTATAATGTGCTAAGGAAAAATCTACTAGTATTTCTAACTTTGCTTTAGTTTATTTAGTTAATTTTTATAGGTTCAATTGTAGTACCACCTTTAACATCAGTAATAATAATAATAATAGTTAGCATTTTATAGCACTTTGAGATGAGCAAAGCTCTTTACAAATAGTATCTCATTTTATCCTCACAACCCTATAAAGTAGGTGCAATTATTAACTTCATTTTACAGATGAGGAAACTGAGGCTGAGAGGGTTAAATGACTAGCCCAAGATCATACAACTACTATCTAAGGCAGGATTTGAACTCTCCTCTTCCTGACTTCAGGTCCATCACTCTATCCACTATATCTCCTAAACCTTGCTTTGGAGCAAGCACCATTAAAACTAAATGAAATAGTAAGATGTGAAAGCCCTCTGAAATCCCAAGAGAAAAGGTACCCTAATATTCAATGTATTATTATTACAATAATCACTACTATTACTACTACTATGAATAATGGGTGTGACTTGAAATTTAGGTATCATAAAGGAGTCTGAAGACCACCTAATTGATCCTATACCTGAACAAGAATCCAATCTACAACATACCCAACAAGTGATCCCCTAGCATTTGCCTGTAGTCCTCTAGTCGGAGGGAACCCTGTTACCTTCTCATCCTTCCATTTTTAGCCTTCTGTTATTGTTAAGAAGTTGTTTCTTTCACTGAGGCTAAATATGTTCCTTTGCAATTTCTCTTTATTGTGCGTTGGCCCTCTGGGGCCAATATTTTATTTGACAGTTTTACCAAAGTTACTTGTTCATGACTAATTTACAAATTCTGTCCATAATCTGTGGTTTGGTCTCATTGGGCCAGAGTATTTCCCTTGACTGACTAGTTAAGAGATGGTCATCATTTTTGAGTATTACATAAATTTAAACTCCATTACTGTGTACCCTCAAAATGGCAGCTGCCAAATGACTTTCATGTGTTGATTCTGTGATTTCCAACGACGCCAACAAAATAAGGGCCTCTCATTTAAAACAGTGAAAAAAAAATACTGCTTTTCAGGAGTGTTGGATTTTATTAAATAGGAGTAGGTCCCAGGTCAGTTGTTAAATGTGACAATGATTTATGGCAAGTGAGTTAGCCTCTGTTCAGACAGGACCCCACAAGTAAACACATCATTTGTCTTTTTTTTTTCCCCATGTACTATAGAATAGGTGGAAAGCAAAAACTTGAAGGGTACTTTCTTCATTAGTTCATTTTAGGAGATGTTTTGTGATAAGTAGTACCAACTAAAAGAAGTCAAATTGCAGTTTCTACCTTCATCTCCAACCTTGAGTAAATCATTTATCCCCCTAAAAGCTTTAGCTATAAAATGCAAAATGTTATGTTTCTGGCAGTCTAATAGGATAAAGTTTTAACAAAAGGCCAAGTATTTAGTATTAAACAATTGCTTGGGAGTTCTCATAGAAAAATCTCTTTCTCCTTCATAATTATCTGTAGTCTCTCATGACAAAGCATTTAGTGTTAAGCTGTTGGATGAAAATTGTGTGTGATATCATTTCCTCAGTTATATTGCTAGGGATGTTAGACGACACTGATTTATGAACAAATTATCTTTTCTCTCCCTTTTTTAAAGAGTAAGGATGGAAAGAGTCCACTGCACATGACAGCTGTCCATGGAAGGTTCACACGATCACAAACCCTCATTCAGAACGGTAAGAGAAGATCCTCTGTGTCCTTCTTTCTGATTTTGGTTTCCAGTCATTTAAAAGTCAAAGGTGATGGTTGTGCTGGTATTTTGCTTTTCATTGTTTTTGATGATTGTTTAAATGGCTGTTGAAGGCTCCTTTCCAAAAATGCGAAATGAATCATAATTAATTAGCATAATTATGAGAAACCTGAAGTTTTCAAGCACAAGTTCTAAGTTAAAGAGGTATAAGTGCTTTGAGATTGTAAAGAATGAACTTATATTCTCATGGCCCTCCACTGACCACTTTAAAATAATAAAATTAAGTCATACACATTTATTGATAATGTTTAACTTATTTATAGACGTTGGAATTAAACATAGTCCTCTGCCCTTAATATATGATAATCTTATTTAGGCAAACAAAGGGAGAAATTGTAAGAGATTCAGAGGAAGGCAAATCCTTCCTTCAGAAAATCCAGTAAATTTCTGTGTAGTTTATCTCAGCAGTAACTCTCCTTTCCATGCCCATTATAGACAACATAGTTTAAGTCCTCATCTCTTCTCATCTAGGCTATTTTAACAACTTCATAACTGGTCTTCCTCATTCCAGTTTATTCCCTCTCCATTTTGTCTTCCATGCTTCTGCTAGAATAATCTTCCAAGTCCATCACCCTGATCATGTTATTTCTAGACTCAAAGACCTTCAGTGGCTCCCCATTGTCTACTAAATAAAGTATAAACTGATACTAGCATTCAAATCCCTCCACAATCTGGCTCCTACCCAGAATTCCAGTTTTATCTCGTGTTATTTCCCTTCACCCCAATTGAAACAGTCTCCGTCCTACTGTCTCCTGTATTCATAGCTTTGTTCATGCTGCCTTCTGTGCTCGTGTCTAGAATGATCTCCCATTCAATTTTTTGTTTCTCTTTTCTGTATATGTTATTTCTGTAATAAAATTACATTTCATTTTTAATGGAGTTTCAGAATTCAGTCTTCATTAATTCAAACATTTTACTCCCCTTTGTTTCTTTTTTTTTCCTGAAAATAAGTCTAAAATAGCAAGGTTTTGTTATAGTTATCATGAATATAGTTTCTAGAAATAAAATTTTTTAATCTGTAAATATATTTTGGCCCAATGAATACATATTAATATTCTTCTTCTCTCCTTCAATTGTTTCCAATATCTTTTTCTTTTATCTAGAACTCCTAGTATGGAAACTCCCTCTCCTACTACAGGTCAGCAACTTATCTCTAACTTACAGTGTTAGAGAATTTCTTGAAACACTAGGAGGTTGTGATTTGCCTGGATAACACATCCTTTGTGAGTCACAGAAGGACTTGAACTGGACATCAATCAAAAAAAATAGAAAGGAGATATCTGTTAAATTTCTCACTTAACATACCATCTTGATTTTTTTTTCTGACTATAAAATGGAACATTCATTTTCTTGGTTGACTTAATAACACTCCTTCCCTTACTCAAGTAAAAGCCTATTTGAATGAATGAATGGAAAAACCCTTTCTTCTTTTTTTTTAGGCAATTAGGGTTAAGTGACTTGCCCAGGGTCACACAGCTAGTAAGTGTCATGTGTTTAGTCTGAGGTCAGATTTGAACTCAGGTCCTCCTGACTTCAGTGTTCTATCCACTGCGCCACCTAGCTGCCCCTGGAAAAACTCTTAATTCAAAGTTGTAGTTACTTAAGCTATTTCTGTCATGAATGTAAAATAATAACCAGGTTTTGTTGATTTCTTTTCATTTAATTATATTAAACCAAAATTACAAATCCTTGTCCATTCAGGAGTCAATGTATAATTTAATTTATAAATATATCTATATTTACTTTTATATATTTATTAATTTATTGATTTATCAATTTAGATATTTCATCTTATAGTCACATTTGTAGTTTTACATATAACATAGTTATATATAATAAGTATATGTAATAGTAGTTTTATTTATTACTATTAGTTCAATGAAGATACAGATTTTGTTTAGTGTTGATGCTCTCTCCCATAATTGTATTTGTGTACTGGAAGTCTCAGGGAATCACAGAGTTGTGGAGACATATAGGAGTTCAGGAAGAGCCAGACAGAAACTGATAGAAAGCAAGGGAGAAGGAAGTCTGAGATTGTAGATAGCAGGCAGCATCCATATATATATGCGTAATTTCATTTACCTTGCTGGGTTCCAGTGCCCCAAACTGTTCTTTGTTCCCTTGTGCCCCACGTTTAAAGAAACTATTAAAAAGCCTCTAAGATGTTATTTCTTAGTAGAGAGAACCCTGAGGCACTTGATATACTTAAATATAAAAAGTAAACAATACTCTTTCTGTTCACCATCACAAGAGGCTGCCATTTAAACGTAATTCAGATTTAATAAGCAATTTTGATGTCCTGCCAGGTTCATTAAAGTAGGATTTTGCTAAATCAGTTTCCAAGTTTCCTGTAGTTTTACCCTTATTTGCAGTAGTAAATAGCTGGTCACCATAATTTGGATACAAACCTTTTCACATACTTTCAAATTATGAAGACTTTGTAAAGCTCCTTATGCTTTTCTAAGAAGCCCACCTCTTCTGGTGTATTCTCATTATTCCTGTATTCCCTAATCAGAATTATTTTTTTTGGTCTGGACTTGTGATTTCACATTCATAACTGGCCCACTTCCCTCCCTTTCCCCACGATGCACACACATACCCATGTTGTTTCTCATATTCCTTTTAAATTGTGAATAGAGATATGGCAGTTAGACACCTAAAAGATCTTATTACCTTTTTTTTTTAAACAACTCTGACTCAGGTTAGCTTTTGTTGATGAACAGAATTTCTGAATCATGTTACCTTATGTTCCATTCTGATCTTTGGATATTTTTCAACCAAATTTGCATAAAGCTTTTCTTATGTTTTCTTCCTGTGTTCCTCCATTTCTTTTTATTGTTGTGAGTCTCCAATGAGACACTACATCATTCTGTTAGTTTGGGACTAGGTCTTCCTTTGGAATGATGCTAATATTTTAGCATGGCTTGTACCCACTCCCCATCTCTTCCCCACAGCTATTTAATTGGCCCATCAGGTTTCTCAGTAGTGAAAATTGAGGGAAAGTACACTAGTAGACCATTTGTTAGATCCCATAATCCTATGATTATGCCATCTTGCAACATTCAGCTGTTGTCCTTTTTCCTCGCTATTGTCTAGCATCTCTCAAGACCAGTTAGCTTTGAAGCTTTAAGGTTAGCCCTAAGGATATGAGTCCAGATAGTCCTAGGAGGCTGTTCCAATAGGACTATCTCTAGACAACTGGAAAGTGGGTGAAATTTTTCTTTAATATCTCTTATCTTCTCTTTCATAATTAGTTCCTTTATCCTTTTCTATTACCATCCCACAAATGAATTTTCAGTGCTGTTGTTCTTCCTAACAAAATCTGATTTACAAGAAAGGATTTAATGTTATTTAAGTCAATGTTCTTGTCCTCTGTGAAACAAAGGACATTTTCCCTCCTTAAAGAAATTTTAAGCATCAGTGAACAGGCCAGGAGGTGGAATACATTTTTGCCCTATCTGCAGTGCTGATTTTTAAGTTCAGTTCAGATCCAGAGTTCCACCTTGAGACTAAGCCCCACTGGGCTGGGTGTGCTTAAGGATTTCTAGGCAGGTTGTTGGGTTCTAACTTCTTTTTAAAAATTCCCAGAAGATCCCAGGCTAGTGCAGCCTCTCCAAGAACCATCCCCAAAGGGATCAAAGTGAATCTCTTTTCTTGAGTATTCCCTAGACCTCTTAGATTAATGTAAAATTATCTATCTAAATGTAAAATACATCTCACTGCTGCTGTGCTGCATTGAGGGGCCCCTGGTTCCACTCTGGCCTGGTCTGGCAACTGAAAGATGCTTTGACCAAAAAACACCTTTTACATACTATACTATCCTGTGAGAGACCTAGGCTTGGGTTATTAACCTTACCTTTGAAAAAAGATTATATGAAATTTTATAATGCTTACTTAACAGTCACCTGCATCCAAAATGAGAGCTAGGCGTCTCTCTACTTGGCATTTAAAAATTCCTGAGGAGAGACTATTGTTTATCTTTTCTTTCCTTCCTGTTTTGGCTCCCTTCCAAGAAGACTACATATCTCAGTACCCCACACCACCATAGGACCCAACTCTCCCCTGGTCCATCTGCAACTTGTATGAATCAGCAGGGTTGGGTCATTGTGAGGGATGGCAGATGGGTTTTCCTCACTCACCATGGTCTGGATCCTACCCATTCCCATTCATAAGAACATCAGAAGAACTTGGCCAGAGAATACAGTCCTTTCTCCAACTCCTGAAAGCCATTAATTCACCTCATGCTGGCCAGTCATACATAAATTTAGGATGAAGCAGCCAGGCAGCTACTGAACGGTGTCCTGTTTCTCTCTTTTATTTTACTGCGGCTTTTGGACTGGTAAATAACCCTTTCCTGTTTCTTAGAGTATGTATTTTAATAGTTACTTTCATTAAAAACACCATTAAAGTTGTATTCCCTCTCAAATACTCTACATTCCAGCCAAAATGGTCTATGTGAAAATATCTGAAGTTCCCATGCTGGGCCTTTGGACAGGATATCCCCCCATTCCAGCATGCGCTTCCTCTTTCTCTTCACATCTTAGAACCCTTAGCTCGCTTATAAGTGATCAATTGGCTTTGCCACTTATTATTTGTGTGACCATAGGCAAATCATCTAAATTCTGTGGGCTTCAGGTCCCTTATCCATTAAATGAAGGGATGGGACAATGGGCCTCTGAAGTCCCATTGAGCCCTAGATCTATAATTCTATGCAACAATGACTTTCGTTGATATAGAACTTTAAGAGAGCCAAGTAGTAGTGGGGAAAACCATTTAGCTTTGGAGTCAGAAGACCTCGGTTCAAATCCTATCTTGGACCCTCTCTACCTATTTAATCTTTCCAAAGTAATGTTTCTCCTTGTTCGTCAGTTTCTTCATCTGTAAAATGATGTAAAACATCTGTAAAACTTCACAGAACAAATCCCC